AATTTGATTGGTTTAAAATTTTTCTAACTAAAAATTGAAAGACAAAATTTGACTGTATTAAACAATATTATTTCCAATAAATTTTGCAAAAATTTCTGACCAACATTTAAAAAAAAGTAATTTCTTAAGTAGGTATATATTATTTGGGCAGAATTTTGTAAGTCATTACTAAACTGTTTTTATAAAAAAAATTGTAGATAATTTTTATATAATATTTTGGAATTAAAATTGTCAACAATATTAATCTTTTATTATGCTATACATTAAATAAAAAAAACGCAAGAAATATTTTATAAAAGTAGAGGTGGTGTGGACGGGACAAAAAATATTTATCTTTTAAAAAATATAGCCTAATAAAAAAAGAATATATTTGACAATTTTGATGCAAAAATAATATATAATAAATTACCTAAAATTTTTTATATAAAAACATTTTTGTGATTTGTCCGGTCCGTATGCTTGAAATGGCCGTAAAGTTAAATTTTTTAGTGTTTAAAAATAGTCTAGAGACATTTAAAATAAAAACACACATTTTCTACCAAAATATTTTAAAAACTTTATTCTACAAAATTATTGGTTTAAATTTGTAAAGAGTCATTTAAAATACATTTTTAATTCAAAAATTGTCACTTTAAAATTTAAAACTTACATTTAAATGGAATGTGAAAATTTTTTTATTAAAAATTTATCAACTATCATTTAAATGACTCTTTTCAAATTTAAACAGATAATTTTATAGAATAGGTAAAATATTTGTACTAAAATTTTTAAAAATCAATATTTTTAAGTTTTACAGTTGTGTTTTATATTTAAGATATTTTTTGACCATTAATTGTTAAGTTAAAAAAAATAACTTTGTAAATTTCTCTTAAAACATCATTAAAGTGCTTAACTTTAATCTTCAAACTATTATCTAATAAATTCTAAAACGGCGTGCCATATATAATATACAGGGTGAGTCATTTAAGTTGAAATATCTCAGTATGCATTTTACGAAAAAATGTTTAAAATAAAAATTAAATGATTCGAGGGGAGAAATCAATCAGTACTAAAATTGGTCCTTATACTCTCCTCCTTATAGGGGGAACAGGAAGTAACTTTAAAATTTCCAATGAAACCCTATTTTTTTTATTGCAGATTCAGATCATTCGACTATATGTAGATTTTGTCTAAAAGATTTTTTCATATTTATAATAGATGGCGCTCTAATATCAAATCAATCAATTTTGTTTGATTTTTCTTCTTATACGATTCTGCATTAATTTTTCTATAAAAATAATTATAATAATAATAATTATCTTATTAAATTAAATCTGATTTTTTTAAGTACCCACGATTTTTTAAATAATATTTAAGTTTCCTTTGGTTTAAGTTTTATACATTATTTCATTCAGTGATAATTATGAATTGCGCACCATGGTCACTTTTTACCTGCCAGTATTAAATCCTTTAATTTAAAGGATTATTGTACTATTTTTAATAAAGAGTCAAACCACGTCAAGTGGGACCAGAAAATTTCACGAAATCACCGATTTTGAAAATAATCACATTATTGTGTAGTAGGCATGACTCATATGTCACAGTAAAAAAATTGTTTTAAAATTCGTTTTTTTGGTAATGTTATTAAGGTTGACAATTTTGTCAAACTTTAGAGCACGGTAAAATTGAAAAAATAGAATCTCTGGGACCACTCTGTATAATTGAATTAAATTTTACACACTATTGTAGAAATGTTTAGAGTATATAATGATCATTTAATTAAGGTTAATTTGTTTAAATAAAAGAATTTTGCATACATTTATTATAAACAATTGAAATTTTGTATGTGTTCTTCACGCTGAAAAAAAATTAATCTTTTGTCATAATATGCGGAAAACGTTTCCGTTTAATAAGATGTACTCAAAAATTTGCCTTTCATATGTCATTCCGGAGATATTAATTTTTTTGTCCCGCTGTGCACTTGATCAGTACGGGGCACTGACTCAAAAATACCTCATTTAAGGTTAAAGTTACCCCCTGTTCCCCCTATAAGGAGGGGAGTATGAGGACCAATTTTAGTACTTATTGATTTTCCCCCTCGAATCATTTTTTTTTAAATAAATAAATAAATAAAGTTTTTATTGCATATTCAGTACATATACAATACAGAACATATAATACAAAATATACAAAAGGCCATCGACCGGGGTCCTTCAGCCTGAGTTTTTTATTTTTTCGTAAAATGCATACTACCAGATATTTCAAAGTTTCAAGTTAAATGAGTCACCCTGTATATATATATATGTATATACAGTGGCGGCTGGTGAATTTTGGACACACCCATATCTCAGTTATTAGACATGGGAGTCCCATGATGGGACCCACATCAAATTAATATGAGTTTATAATAATAATAATAATGACACTATATAAACAAGTTCTGCGCAAGCAGAATTTACATTGAAGTTTGCGAAAAAAGTTAGTTTTTAAGTGTGCCCCCTGCCTCCCCATGTTAAGATAATTTAAATTAAAGCGGTACAATATTTAATTCACTGAAGTTTATTGACAAAGGGGGTAGCGGGTTAAGGGGGGTCTGGCGGCCCCCACCGAATCTGGTAAAATCGTTCCAAAAATCTTGAAGAGGGTCGAAAAACAAGCAGTATAAGCTTTTTACCGACATTACAACCCCAAACGAAAACACAGTAATGGCGAAAAATATGATTTTTTGTGATTTTTATTTTTTTCAACCAGTTTAATTTATTTTTAAATGGTTTAAACGCAATTAAAAAACTGTTTTGGATGTATGGTAGTCCCCAAAATTTTTTCAGATTTTTTGGTCAAGTAAAAACATGTGAATTTTAGGCTTAAATGCGAAAAAATCGTGAAAAACGCGTCATTTTCAAGATTCAACCCTCTAATTTTTAGGGTTGTTTTCATTTTCCCGAGGGGTGCTGTATAGTATGGATAGCGGCAATCGTAATCTTTTGAATGCAGGCAACTGGACTCAATTTGGTCAATTCTGGTGAGCGGGGCGATTTTTTGAAAAAAACTCGAATTTTCAACTTTCGGTAATTTACGGCGCGTACTTGGTATAATGCGTCTTTGCTATAAAAAATACATCTCCATAGAGGTTTTTGAGGTCGCTGATCACGAATTTGATGTCAAAAAAATTTTTTGACAACAAAGATATTTGTCGCGAATTATTCGTCCAGCACAGATTCTCACAAATCTTTTCTCTGTTCAAAGCGTTGAACATGTTATTGAAGAAGATAGTGACGAGGATTAAAACTGTAAAATTGTTAACTTAGCTCTGTAAAAAAGTATTATGCTATTTTATATTACTGTGTGACTATTACGTAAGCTTGAATAAAATATTATTTATACCAGAAAATTTAATTTCATTGATTATATTAGTTGAACACGATATTAAAATTGTTTAAATGCTGTGATTCAATGATATTTTTTACATTATCAAACCTGTGTTAATAAATATTTATGGGTGAATTTGTTGTCAAAAAATTTTTTTGACATCAACTTCGTGGTCAGCGACCTCAAAAACCCCTATAGATATGTATTTTTTATAGCAAAGACGCATTATACCAAGTACGCGCCGTAATTTACCGAAAGTTGAAAATTCGAGTTTTTTTCAAAATATCGCCCCGCTCACCAGAATTGACCAAATTGAGTCCAGTTGCCTGCATTCAAAAGAGGACGATTGCCGCTATCTATACTATACAGCACCCCTCGGGAAAATGAAAACAACCCTAAAAATTAGAGGGTTGAATCTTGAAAATGACGCGTTTTTCACGATTTTTTCGCATTTAAACCTAAAATTCACATGTTTTTACTTGACCAAAAAATCTGAAAAAATTCAGGGGACTACCATACATCCAAAACAGTTTTTTAATTGCGTTTAAACCATTTAAAAATAAATTAAAATGGTTGAAAAAAATAAAAATCACAAAAAATCATATTTTTCGCCATTACTGTGTTTTCGTTTGGGGTTGTAATGTCGGTAAACAGCTTATACTGCTTGTTTTTCGACCCTCTTCAAGATTTTTGGAACGATTTTACCAGATTCGGTGGGGGCCGCCAGACCCCCCTTAACCCGCTACCCCCTTTCAAATTTTATTAAAAAAATTCAAGTATTACAGATTTTATACCATTTCTATTTTTTTTTTAATTTAGTAAAAGAAACAATAAAAATTTAAAATGGTATAAAACCTGTAATTCTTGAATTTTTTTAAATAAAATTTGAAATTTGTCGATAAACTTCAGTGAATTAAATATTGTACCACTTAATTTAAATTATCTTAATTTGGGGAGCAGGAGGCTGGGGGGCACACTTAAAAATTAACTTTTTTCCGCAAACTTCATTGAAATTCTGCTTGCGCAGAATTTGTCTATATAGTGTCATTATAAACTCATATAAATTTGATGTGGGTCCCATGTCTAATAACTGAGATATAGGTGTGCCCAAAATCCACCAGCCGCCACTGTATATACATATATTAATACTATCCTATACTATTAATACTATCATAATTTAACCCTCCGTTACTCGCGCCAGTTTTCCTAACATCGATACTCGCGTGGCGTCTGAGAGACTCTTGCGTTATAAAATAATTATTAGAAGGTTATTGTATTTTATATTAATGAAATCATCAAGACTATTTCTTTCAAACATTTATTTATTACTAAAAATGCAAATAAAAAAGTTTAAAAAACAATTTGAAAATGTTAAATCTACCTACTAAATTATTGTTTTTTTTTTTTTTTTTTGAGCGCAGATTACTCTACTATCCACTTAAGAAAGGTACATGGCCGGGGAAGTCCCTATTTATCTCGTTTCAAAAGTTACTATAACTAATAGATTCAGTGGCGTCTGATAGACGCCGCGCGAGTAACGGAGGGTTAATATGAGTTTTGGTTAACAAATAATTTTAAACCTGTCCTGTTCTTAACTTAATGATTTAGTAATTATTTTAAAATGTAAAATAATATTTACTATTTTTATTTAGGAACTACAAAACATTAATCGTGCAATAAATGGAGTGATAGCGGGCAAGCGTTTGCTGAGTGGAGACGATGGCGAGTTACCTGCAACAAAAAAAACCAGCTCTTACAGGAAAATTCAGTCCTTGGTTGAAGAGCGAAAGAGCCAAAATTTACAATAAATGTTTATACACCCTATTATATACAGAATTAATCTAAGTTATTTAAAATTTAAATTTATATAATACTAACCAAACACTAAAGGATCTCTGGCTTCTTCAAAACACACACAGTTAGATTTTGTTTTTTAATTTTGTTTGATTTTTTTCTGCTATGATGTAGTCTAATTATTATTTATTGAAGATTTAAATAAGAATGTGATTTTATATTTTTTTGATTGTCTTAATAAAAGTAACATTTTACTTTATATGATTTCTTTATTTGTTGTTGCTTATCATTGGATAAATTTGAATCAATCATCAATCTTTATTAGTAGAATTTCCATTTACTTTCTTACTAAGACAGATTCTGTCCGTTTTTTTTATCAAACTGATTAGGCTTCTTGTTATTTAAAATTTATTGTTTGTATAATTTTGCCAATATTTTTTACAAAATTATGATTATCCCATAGGTAAATTAGGTACCTGTATTTTTAATAAATATTTGTAAATATGCACAAATTATGTTTAATTTCTACATAACCTAGGTTTGTACAAAACCATATAAAACCATGAGTATACCCATTCTTATAAGTATACAAAACAAATTGCAATGAGTATACTCATACTTTTTAAGTATACAAAAAAAAAGATTTATAATTCGAATTTTTCTTAAATTTATGCCAAATAGAAAAATAGTATAAAAAACTCATGTCATAAAACGTTTCCTCGCACTCGTCCATTACAAAACTTGCTCCTTTGTTGATTATTTCAGCTTATAGCTAATAGCTTAAATGACCAACTTTCTAAAATGAAAAACCAGGACACAACATGCCCCTCCTAGCCTTTCCAAAAAATAAACAAAATTTGTTTTATTCAATTTTTATTATTTGAAAAAATAATGAGCTAATAATAAAAAAAATAATATTAACCAGAACCAAATTGAAACCAGGACACATAGCAAAAACCAGAACTTGTCCTGGGTAAACCAGGACGGTTGGTTACCTTTTTTGCTATTATTAATAGCAAAAACATAACTAAAAACGTTTTTGCATCACCACGCGATAGCTATCGATAAGGTATAATTATACACTGCGCGTCAAAATTAACGCATAATAAGTAAAAAAAATTTAACTCTAAAACGCCTTCACCAATATTTATAAAATTTTATAAGAATACTTCAACTTATATCTCAGTTTACATGTTCGAGGGTTTTTCGAGAAAATATTTTTAAAGCACTATTATTAAATAATAAAAAAAATGTTCAAAAAATAACTTTTAGGGAAGTAAATAAAAATATGCTATTAAAGACCGTATTTTTGTTAGTATACCCTGAAAATTTTTTACAAATCAAACGAACAGTAACGTAGATACAAAGTCGGTAAAAATTACCCCTTTTTGATTATTTTGCTGAAAAGTGGTCATTTTTGGCGACTTCTAAGCGCTGTATTTTCGTTACTGTTCGTTTGATTTGTACAACATTTTCAGGGTATACTTACAAAAATACGGTATTTCACAGCATATTTTTTATTTTCGCAAAACCCTGTATAAGGTAAGTTATTTAACTTAAAATTGCAAAAAATTAGCTTTTTATTTTGAAAATTTCCGGATATGATTTAGAGTGCCTATTGTAAAGATTAGATATACCTAATACAACCGGAAAGATTAAAATGCTTAGTCAAAATTGATTTATTGGGTGATTATAACTATTATAAACTAGCAGGTAGGTATACCTCCTATAGGAAATACAGTAGTATGACTTATTTTTAAGATATTTATTACTAGTAATAATTTCTTGCGACAAAAATAGAAACATTCACTTAACCAATAAAAATAAATGGTTTGGTTTTTATAATCAATAGGTATTACACCATATGTTTGCGTATACGTTGCTATAAAATATATTTTAAAGCAACATATTTTTTATTTACATTTGGAATAAAGTAATGTTTATTTAACTGTATAGTATTGCTTTGAATGTAAACAAAATTGAATAGAATCCAATAGGCAAATATTTTACGAACAAAATAATTTTGTTATTATATTCCTATGCGATTCTAGGGACGCTCCTAAAAGCTAATTTAGTAGTTATAACATAAATGTTGAATCGAATATTTAAAAAATGCAAATAATGCAATATCGGGTTTTTAAATAGTGTAGTATATGCTACTATAGTAGTAGTTTATTCTTATATACGTAGTAGGTACTAGGGATGCCGATTTTTAATCGATTATCAAAAAAATCGATTAATTTTTTTTAAAACATCGATTTTTTGCATCGATTTTTTGATGCTCGATTTTTTTGCACATCGATTTTTTCGTTTTAAAATAATCGAAGTTTGATGTTTAATTTTTTTAAATTTCACTTTATACACTATCAATCCTCTAAGATTTATATTTTACTATACCACTTCCAAAAAATATAATCTACTACAAAAAAGTACCTATAATATATAAGTTTTAGGTACCTATATGCAAAATACAAACACAACGCCATCACGCGTTCTTTCAATGCTACATATGTAATCGTAGGCTACCCTTAATACATATTATGTATTTTTTTAATTAAACATCGATTATTTGAAACATCGATTATTTGGGCAGCGATTTATTTTGGAATCGATTTTTGGAGCTTCGATTTAAATCGAAGCTCCAAAAATCGATCTTTTTGAAAAAAATCGGCATCCCTAGTAGGTACTACTAGTAGTAGTCTACTACTGTAGTACATACTACTACAACTACTACTACGTACACTATTTATACTATAGTAGTTTATATATATAGTAATAGTCCGGAATATAAGCTTTTCCTATACGAGATGGTGTGAATTTTATTATTTTTTACATTATTTTTATAAATATCAGCTCATAAATAATTTAATTAAATAAATAATAGCTAGGGAGAAAGAGAAGATTCCTTGAGCGTGCTTACACGCGAGTGGAATCTCCTCCTTCCCAGGTAGCACAACGTGACGATTTGTGTTCAATTGGACACAATGGACACAAATCGTCACGGTTTCGTCACGTTGTGCTACCTGGGTTTGACCAATAGTCGCACACAATATATTTTTTCTACGACCACTATGTAAAAGTCACTTTTCATGATGGCATCGTTGCTTAGAAAATGAATCTTTTCATTGGCAAGGCAAAACATGAATGTAAAGTGACAGGTCTGTGTGAAAAGAACCGAAAAGCATCGTTTGACATTCAGCTGTCAAAAAAGTTTTTAGGTTACCTATTTTGTTTTTTGTATTTAAAAATAATAAAAAATAAAAGGGTCGCAGAAAAAACATTGTGTTATACTTGTGAGAAAAGCTTTCTTCAAGCTCGTGTTAATGCACACTCGGCCTGACGGCCTCGTGGGCAACTTAAAAACTCGCATGAAAAAGTCGCTTTTCAACACTTGTAAAACAAATAACTATTATTTAACTTCCACAATGAATTTAAAGCCGATTTTGATTTGATTTTAATTTAAATTAGGGATGAGTAAAATTTTGCCCACGGGTAAAAGTTAAAACATGAAATAGTTGTTAAATAAAATTTTATTTTGTTAACGAGAGGGATTTAAAAACCTCAGCTCTTAAATAATTAATTTTATCTACTCCTACATTAACGACCTGCGACTTTATGGCGTTTTAGTCACGGGCTGAAGTTAACAACAGTGGCTTTTTAGCATTTTAGTCACGGGCTGAAGTTAGCTTCATTATAAATTAGGGAAAAGTGAGGTTAAATCCGTTAAAAGTTGACAGATGTCAAAAGTTTGACAAATAAAATTGGCTTTAAATTCTTCTTCGTGTGCGTCGTAGATAAAGTATAGTATGCAACTCGTTTTATAAACTTCTCTAGACACTCGTTTTTATTAAACACTCGCTTGCAAGCTTCGCTCGTGCCTAATAAAACTCGTAACTAAAATAGCATTTATAAAACTTGATACATAATATACTATTATTAAATAAATACAATTTATTGATTAGACTTTTGTATTTAAAAATCAGTCGTAGTTGTTTACAACTTCATTGTTGTTTTAAAAATATCGAGCCAATACGGTGTCTAGGATCGTCCCCACCAAAGCAAGTTTAAAGCCCAAGTCGTTGCGCAAAGGGTGGTTTTGCTTTATTGTATTAAAAGCGCATGCGTTTCAGAGTGACGCGCCCCAAGCCATCTGAGCACCTGTTACATTTAATATATCTTCATTGTCCGTTCGAGAGCCGGCGGGTAAATTTGCGTTATAATCAACTTGTTTGTCCATTTGCGTGTGTTTTGTACTGTTTACTGTAAAAATGTCCGAACAAGAAGCCGCAGCAACAAACGAAGAGCCAAAAATCGAAACTCCAACTGAAAACAACAAAGAAGTCAAGGAAAATGGAACCGGCGAATCCGCTGAACCTGTTGCCGAAGAAAAAGAAGCGCCCAAAGAAATGCGGGCTGTTGTTCTCAATGGATTTGGTGGCCTAAAGTCTGTTAAAATACTAAAAAAACCCGAACCCACTCTCAACGAAGGTGAAGTTCTTATAAGAGTCAAAGCATGGTAAGTTTTTTACGACATTATTGCAAAAAACTATATATGTAGGTAATAGGAAAAAACGTATTTTTATCAACAATGTTTATTTAACTTTGATACAAACTTAATTTATTTATATTTCATAATCAATGGTTTTTTCAAATAACGTAATATACCTACCTATTTAGGTTTTTGTTCCATCAAGTCATAGAGCCAATAAAAAAAATTGTAAATTATTTTTTATTACTTTTGAAACATCTCTTTATGGAACAAAGCCATCTGCAAGCTTTAAAAGAGCTATTTACTGTTGGGTTGTATGTCCCAATTTAAATTTGCGCTAATTTAATTGCGTATTATTAAAATTCCAAGCGTGTCTCTGTATCAACACCCGCCTTTTTGTTTGGCACACTGCAATGTTTAAGTAATTAAAACAAAACATTTTTACATTATTCCCAGCGCCCATGTTAATTAATCTTTCGTTCGGGGCGATATTTTTCTCGAAGCATATGTCGCGTATGAAAGAATTTATTTACTTATTTGTTAATAAATCATGGACACAAAACTCCTTTAATAAAATTAATTGAATGTATAGACTTCCGGTCTGACTCATTTTACTGAAATGATAATTTTTATAAATGATAAATTAGCCGGTCTATAGTACCTAATAGCCGTCTGTGATTTAATTTAGACATTCTTTTTATTTATTTTTTGGCGTTGTGACTTGAATTGTTTTTTTTCGAATTTTAACATGTGTATAGGTACGGTACCTATCTAAATTTTAGAATTTGGCTTATTTTTGTTTTAAATATAATAAATATGGTTTTGCCACAAAACTTTTGTGTGCATATTTATGTATTACATACCTACATATATAATTTATTGTTATCTATTACCTATGTTAAAATTTAAACTTACGTTTTAGTTTTAAAGTTATTATTAAAGGATAACCTATCTAACCTAGGTATATTTTAAAAGTAAATAGGTATTTTTATCAGATTTTTTTGATATGACTTCCAAATAGATACATAGGTAGGTAATTTTAATTAAATTTTATGAAATATTATATTACATTTAAGTCGGCATTTAAAATTCTACTTAATCCTTTCAAATTTTTCTTCAACTCGAATTTGAACTAATTTTAATTAAAAGTTTTACATAATTACTCCCTCTAACTCAAACAGTTAAACATGTCAGATGACAAGTCGACTAGTTGACTGTTTTTGAGAGCTATAATGTACCCAAAGATAATATATTATTATTATCTTTGGGTATACCTACAAGAAAATAATGCATCAATTTTTTTTTTAATTTGAGTGAGGCTCTTTATTTTCTATTTTTTTCAAAATTTTAGTTTCGGATATACCTACCTACCTACCTATTCGTATATTTTCTGTAATGTCTCTTTTAATTTAGTTTATTTACGTTATATGAATATATTCGATTTTGGGTCACTTATAGGTATAACTCTATACACCGTGTCCATTGCTACCATTCTCTGTTATTATTGGAGCTACCTACATTAATTGTTTATTTTTAAGTTTATGGTAGGTAGTTATGCAATAATTATTTTTTATTCCAAATTTTTTTTCAAAATATTTTCATATAAAAATATGTTACCTACTTTTGTGAATATTTCTGAAACCCGTTCAATTGTTTTTCTGTTTTCACCATTTTAATCAGAAGGAAAAATGCTCCCAATTTGCTAATTTACAGATTCCAATAATAAGGAAGTTAGCAATGGTGAGCAGACCAAATTTAAACTTTTTTCATTCAGTAGATTCGAAGAAAATAAGCTGTGACAGACTGACACAAGGGTACGTCGGAACAAAAAAATATTTGAATCTACATTTTTTTATTTGATTGTCTTCTAAATTAACATTTAACATTTTCTTAAAATCCCAATTGTTACAAATGCTTCTTTAATTAAAACAATGTATCGAATCCAGCTGTTGGTAGCTTTATAATTAATATCGATCGTAATGGTAAGAAAAAAATAAATAGCACTGCATGAGGCTAAGGGCCATAATAAAAACGAAAACGGGAAACGCTAATGCTTTTTTATGTGAACTCATGGCGTTCAACTATTTTATTTTTATATCCGGTATCCTGTAATAAATAATAAAATCGAGAGAACAATAAGAATGCTTCATTCACTGGCTTATTAGAAATAATTGTTTCATTTAGCGATGTGTGATTATAACTTTTCTAAAGTAAATATTGTTGTTGTTAGTCATCAAGTTATTCTAAAACATTGTAAATATTTATACTTTCTTTAGATAAAATAAAGACATCTCTTGTGCTTAAAATAGACTGACGAAACATTAAAAACGTTGATTAAGGTTGGTAAAATAAAACAAACATCTTTATAAATAAATATATTTATTTATTTTATGTATTTTGCTTCAAATAATAATAAATTACTTTGTGCGCAAATAAAATTTATTTTAGGACAAAAATTCTTCCGGACAGGCACGTCCGGTCTAGGCGCCGTTCACGCCGTTTTTAGACAATGCGAATTCCAGTCAATGCACTGTTACACAAAATTAAGTTTTTAGAGACAATAATAGTTATTGTACTATTACAATTATTATTATTATAATAGTACTTACCAAATTATCAGGGATATCCTTTATATCCCCCTATACAGATATAATACTAATAATAATAATACAAACAATTTTATGTTATTTTATTACTTAATTTGTTTTGTTGACAAAAGTAACATTTAGTAATGCAAAAATTGCGATTAATAATATTAAATCTCGTGACGATGGAGGGGGTTTTGAAGGACAGTCACAATTTGTCACGCCCGAGATGGGAGGGTAAAGTAAACCGAATGACATTTTTTATTTGTTTCATTTTTAGTAAGATTATTACAAAAAAGTATCGGAAAAAATATTCGTCACATGACCATTTTTGGCGCCACTAACTAACTTTGGTTTTAAAGTTTTTTTTTAATTCATTTTTGTTTTTATTTAATTTAATAAAATAAGACTTTATTAAAGACATTTTTTATATTTATTTTATATTAACCGTAATCGTAAGATTATTGGATATAGAATCTTAATCGCATTTCAAAAATCACTTGTAAAATTAAGAAATAGACCCTTAAAAAATCGTTTAAAATTTAATAAAAACACTTTACGGCCATTTAAAGCGCGCTAAACGCACAAATAACAAAACAAAACTGCAGTTTTAGTGATTTTTTACACTTTTCAAAGCTTTCAAACATACGAATTGTTGAATTAAAAAAAATAATCCTGGTATAGATTATTTGGGAAATTTTATGCTTTACAAGAATCCGCGACGTAAAAAATTTTATCTTAAACGGTTCAAAAGTTATAGTCTTTTTAATGAAAAAAGATTTTTTTACTTGTTATTTCAATGGAAAACTTAAATTACTCACCGACACCTTTTAAAATTGAGCAAAAAATTTTGCCTTGCAGGGAAATTTTTTGCTCGGTATGTAGGTTCATTTTAACCCATAAATCCGATAAGTTAGTTTTTTTGGCTCACCCTAATGTATAGCTTTATAAAAGAAGAATATATTTGACAATTTTGATGCAAAAATAATTTATAATAAATTACCTACATTTTTTTTTTATTAAAACAGTTTTGTGATTTGTCCCGTCGGTATGCTTGAAATGGCCGTATAACAGAATGGATTGTTTTTATATTGCTCGAAACGGTTTTAAAATTGTATTAAGTATTAATATCTTTCAAAAAATGTATATATTTTAAGGAATAATTTTAAATGACTGGTGCCCCAAAGGCTGCTTCTTCCTTCGTTTGATACAGAGAATCATATCGGTATTTGTTGGTTTAGAAAATTGGTGCAGATAAATCTGCACCAATTTTCTATACCTTTTTATTTTTTAAACGTGTTTAGAAAATTGTTTTTCTACGTTTTCAAAAAATACCATAGATAAATAATTTAATTAAGAAAGTGAGGTTGGATCGGTCTAAAATTTGTTAGATATTAAAAATAGAGATGTCGCCACGAGTGTTTATTCTGTCATCCGATGATAGAATATTTCATTCTGTAACACTTTACGGAATATATGTCATTCCATAGATAAAAATGATATAAGAAAGGTCAAATTCCGCAATAGGAGTAGAAAAAATTGTTTATTATCCTTTTAAGTATATAAAAACAAAATATTAAAAGCCTTAGAGTAACAAACATAGAATTCAATTTTTAAACTTTTTAATCTATTCGTCGGAAAAATAACACCTCCTACAGCAGTAGTAGAAAGTAGAAAAACTAGGCCTTGGAAAAAATGGTGTATTTTTTTCTCAAAAAATAAGCAAAACTCAATCATACTTAACCTTTGTTTTTTTATGGTGAAATCCTAATGGTAAACTGGACAGGGTGTATATCGATTTTATTTTATGCTATTGTAGCTAAAAATTACTTATTATCTAAGCGATTCTGGTTAAATTACAAGAATTATTTTTATCTTTTTTACTATGAAGACAATAAAAAGTATTTATCTAATTATCTTCAAGCGTTCTAAAATTTAAGCTTTGTTTATTATCAAAGCGTTTACCAAAATATTCGATTATTTTCTAGTCTGTAAAAATAATTTGGACCAATCAGGTGAAGTTTTTTATATCCCAGTCTCTAAAAAATGACAGCTATGAGCAGTAGCGTGCAAAGGTGATCGGGCCCCCCCCCGCAAATTTTGAGCTGGCGCCCCTTAGTCACTTATACCACCCAATGTGGTTCTCTACGGGGCCCCCCTAAGGTCGGGGGCCCCCTGCACCGCGGGCCTTGCGGGGCCCGTCCTGCACGCCACTGGCTATGAGCTATCTATTAGATAGTATCTAACCTCACTTTATACTTTTAATAATTGTTATTATAATTGTAAGTACGATTTATGTATCGACATATAAAACTGTGCCTTGAAAATAAAATTTATGCCACTCGGCTGAGACGTGTCTTTTTGTGCTTTGCTCAATTGTAGGCCTCCGCAAACGGAACTTTGAGCCCAGCACAAAAAGACTTACTTCTCAGCCTTATGACATAAATAACTATTTTTATGATTTTATTGATTTCTGTCTATTTTTTATAACGCCATTAAAAAACAGATAGGTATCTAGTTCAAGGTGGTGAGAAAATGGCATTTGGCAATTTATTTTCCCATTTCATTTTCCTATTATTTTACAAACATCCTGAACGTGATTAAAACATTAATTATATTATTTTTAAATTCTGATATATTTTTATAAAAATATTAATTAATCATATTTTGTTTTTATTATGAGAAAACAGGTTATCAATGTGTAACAACAGATCTTCATATTATTGTTTGATACATGTTTTTAATGTAATTTTCCAATGAAGATAAATATATAGTTATGAAACAGAATTTACTATGAATATATATGAATATATATATATATACGCAATAATTTTTATGATTTTGTATATAAAAATATGTTTTTTTAATATTTAGTTGCGATTCGCTTTCATAAAAACCACTATTAAATGTGGATTATTAAACTTTATTATACAAAATTCACCTCGTATTAGATTTTTTTTTGAAAAAGATCACTGTATAATACACCCTCTATAGATAGCGTTGTTAAGATTATTTATTTGGTTAAATATTGTGACCTGAAAAACAAATGTCATGCAAAAGGACAATAAAATTCCTATCAAACCCTTTTATCTGACATTTTGATGCGTAAACCTTTCAGGAAAATTTCCACAATACATACACAGGGAAAAAGATAAGCATATCTATAAGAGAGTGCACTCGCTTGTATACTGTAGGTGAAAAATAACCAGCAGAAAAGCTTGTGAAAGCATTTTCCATTATGACTGAAATGGGTTTTGATATAAATTGTGACTGTCAGCAAAGAATAATCCATTAACAAAAAATAAGTAAAATTTATTTTGTTTGGTGTTACAATTTATTATTCTATATATACATATAAAGATTGTATTGATTGTTTATTGCTTTGTTTTTAAGACAACAAATTTTCGTTTAATAATTAACATCATAAATATTTATTATCACAAAATATCTTATTTTGTGAAAATTTAATTGTTATTGCAACAATTTATATTAAATTAAAAAAAATATCTTTACTAAAACAAGATTTTCAATGGCTAATGCATTACTTGGTTCCTCAAGAATCTATTTTGGGTCTATTTTTGTTCCCATCTAAATAAACAATACGTTGTTTGAGAACATTTCTGTGACAGTCATAAATCTCGAGGCATCAATGGAATAAAATAATAAAATCATTGTTAGGACGTTAAGTGGTTAATAGAGCTATTAGAGAAATCTGGATATTGTCCAAGTGTAACAAGTTGTTTACCATGTTATATTTATCCGTCTGGCTAATACCTATGACTAATTTATCTTAAGATAAAGAATCAATTTAAAAATGTATTTATGTATTTATTCCTAGAAGATATTCGGTTAGTAAAAGTCCTGTGATTTGAGTCATTCTAAGCTAATCAGTAGACTATAAAATAATATATTAAGTCCCCTATAGGGAATATTATCAATTTAATTATTAATAGCCATGGCCCAAACAAAAGGTTTCCATTTTAGTTTAATTCAAAAATTAGCATGAATCATCAGCGTTTAGAGATCCAAATTGATATATTTGTGTTAATTTATTGCATTTTTAGAACTACACTCGACAAAATATTTAACAACTTATGTTAAAAAATTATGAGCAACACCATTTAAAACTTCATTAATTTTTTTATAGATTTGAAAGCACAAAACACTTAAAATTATAATTATAATTTAACAAAACTGTTTTAAAACACTGTCCTAAATTATTTTCGTTTTCATACATAAGTACAATTTTGTGGTTCATAATACGAAAGCATTTTGACTAATTATTATTATTATTTTACCAAATTTAAAGGATAAAAGTTTTTTTAGATACATTTTTTATCATTTATAATTTGCTATACAGGGTGGCCCATTTATATAATCAGATTAAATATTAGGACAACATTTGTTTGTTATACCTACCGGGTGACTATTTTTTCCCGATTATGTAGTCTTAAACCTAACCAAACTTTTGTCTTGTACGGCGCTGTTTAAATTTATTAACAAAATTAGATTCGTTGATTTGTTTTACTAAATTTAGCGATTTTTTTCTATTCATTCCAAGGATATTAAGAAAAATAAGTTAAGTCATCATAATCATTTTATAAAATTAAATTACATTTAAATAAATTTAACAAAAATAGTTTTTATTTATTAACATTTTTCTCTAATTACAATGGTTTTACAAAAATAGACTATGAATTTAACGAGGGGTCACCCACACCTGGGAATCCCTGGACATTTTAGAGTGGGAATACCATAGGAATACAATGGAAATACATAGGAATACAATAAAATATAATGGGAATACATGGGAATCCCTGGACGTTTTCCCTTTGGGTGGTTGACCCCTCGGAATTTAATTTATTTTTTTAATTTGACCAGCTGCTATTAGGAAAACAGTTCTGGTTAGATAAAGACTACATGATCATACAATACTAAAAAACAAAATATTAAAAAAAAAATTCCAAAGCTTTTAACTTATAAGGCCTATTATAGGCCTACTTAAAGCGTTAAATTGTTAATATAAAAAGAAAATGGCAAGAACATTTCCAATATTGAAAAAATGTAGTTGGTATCCGTTTAATTTTTTTTATTTTTGTGAATATATTCGCACCATTTTAATTAAAAGAAAATATGCTAATTTAACCGACTTTGTAGGTCCAATAATAACGGAGTAAGCAATGGTAAGCAGATAACTTTGGGTACGGTGTATAATGATGTTAAAACATATTTTTTCGAGAAAAAAACACTGCCCAAATATATCTAAAAAATTATGCTATTTTAAAATATCTTTTTACATCAATAGGATTGATTAAAATTTGCAATTGGGGAAAATATATGTATTTAATTTTTTAAACATTGTTAAAAATTGTTTTGCTGACCAGTGTTTTTTTTGGAGGTCGCAATACTTTGTCTGGCTTTTGGTGCAGTCATAAAAAATTTATGACTATCCACAAAGAAAAGTAGCTAGACGGTTTCATGCCCTATTAATTTGTTTTATTATTCGATCCTCCCGATACTTCATGCAATCCAAAGCAACAACTAATGGTATTATTCTGTATGTACGGTTAAAATAATTTAAACGGCAAAGTTACTGCACTTCGTGGAATTTGATTTTTGAAGTGTGCAAAGTTAGACTGTTTTGCGTCAATAGGTAACATTGGTCGGATGTTTTAAATTACCAATAAATATGATATAGGAGTTCTTTATAAATAACTGAAACGCGATATTTTCAACCAATCAAGTTACGATCCTTTAATAGAAATGTAATTACTTAGATACTGAGTTTTATTATTAAAAAATAAGTTTATTACTAAACAATTGTAAAATAAATATAAAAAAGATATTATAACTTAGGTCTAATTTTTTTTAAACTGAAGCCAGACTATATATTTTTGAAGGTTTCTAACGTTCTGAATTTCTCCTCAGAATTGCTTGTTTTTAAGAAATTTTAACTTAAAAGTAAAAATATTTTTTTAATATTTATGCGTATTTATGGTTATGTTATAACCTTAGGTTATAATGTATAATTATGTATTAAAAATATAGTGTTTAAACTTAATAATATAGTTTAAAAAACACAAATCGTTGAAAAGTTTTAATTTAGTTTTTTATTTAAGAAACGGATCAGGAATCCCAATTTATTAATACTTTATAGCCTAATTTCAACAATAACAAAACATAACAAAAGTCGATATTTTTTGTTTAAAATTTTAGACGTATTAATTTTTTAAATTTAAACCAATATCACAAAAAGATATTGGTTTCGGTCCACAAGTACCTAATTGAAATGAACTGAATCGGATTATTTAGTATTTTATGTTGTAATAAAACAGTAATTTTAAAGCTATTACCAATTATATGGTTTTGGAATATTAAATGAACAAATTTGTTTAAAATAAAACCTTTGTATCAATCAATATTTATATTATATGCATAAATATGTTAGTTGTTAAAGGGTACTCAAAAGGAAAAGTAATTGCATTTGTGATGTGGAATGAGAAAATGGTCCTTACGACCTAAAAATATTTTGACCAAATTTTAATATTCTATTTTTTTATATTTTAGTGGTTTGAACTTCCAAGATTTGATGGTGAGACAAGGTGCCATCGATTCCCCTCCAAAATGCCCTTTCATTCTTGGATTCGAGTGCGCAGGAGAGATTGAACAACTTGGAGAAGGAGTGGAAGGACTTGCCGTAAGTTTACATAAGTTTTAATCTTGACAAAGTTTGCAACAAACTAACTATAATTGTACTTATTTCGACTTCAAGAGCACTCCCTACTAGTACAGATTGCTACATGGGCTTTTAAAGAGGTGTAAATAATTTCTAGTAAACTTTAATGTAATGACCATCGTAAATAGAGTAATTTACTTGAGTCAAAATGTACTAAACCTACTATTAATATTTATATAGGTATCTTGGTAATTTAGAATGATCTTTTTAAAGTGCTGTCGTGAATATAAACGAATATAAAGGTTTTAAGTAACTTTTAAATTCTAGAAAAATATTCTTTTATTTGTTTAATAAGAATTTTATATTCATATGAAAAATGCAATATGCATAAATCAGGAATAAAAATTGTCTTGGAAAATATAAAATTGGGAAATATTCCTTGAAACTCGTTTAGAAATAGTGCAAAATATTAAAATAACATCAATTCAATTTAATTTTAACAAAGTTTATTTAAATACATAAAAATACATTTTTTGTACTGACGCAATACTTTTATTTTTATAGTTTTGGTTTATAACGATCAATAAATATAAAAAATGTATACTGGTTTTCAAAAATTAGAATTACAATTTATTTAATCACCAAATTTTATGTTATTCTTCAAACAAATGTGGTTAGTTTGTACAGCTTATTTCGGCTTTTTAATCAAGAAAATTTCCTTTAATGTCGGTTTCTTATCAAATAATTAACGATTTTCGGCTGGAGAAAAGGGAAGAGTAAAATGAAGGGTAAAATGTTACGACCGTGCGTTACGTCTAGAATGCTTGGCAACGGCAAAAATTGTTCAAGACAGGATTTCATGAATAACAAATTTTTAAAGGTAACTTTCTCGATTTGTCTGTACCTATGCTTAAATTGAAAATATATATGACAGCAAGGCAATATTATAATAGTATAAACTTGATTTAAAATGCTCAAAAAATGATAAGGAATTTGCAATAAAACATTTTTAAACAAATTAAATATAAAATGTTTTTATGCGGATTATTAAAATAAATTTAAAACGCTTTGTAAACATATTTCTTATTGAAGTATAACAACTCATGCCTATAGGCCTATATATAGGCACATAAACATAAATATATGTATGTTATAATAAAAATTCCTTATCAACTTTCAGCAGTTTAGTATATTGGGTATTGTCTGAAGCTTTAGCCGAATATAGAAATCGTGCATCATCTTAAATAATATTTCTTCTAAAAAATAATATACATACATAATATCATTGTTTGATATTATCAATATCATTAATAATCCATATATAATTTATATATGGATACGCACTGCAAACTTGTGTGCAGAAAATTTAAAACTTCGTTCCTATAACATAATAAAATTATTTTGCATTATATGATAACAAAGCTGCTGGATGTTTGTGTTTGAGCTACCTCTCGGTAACCCGACACCGTATAATCTGCCTTGGCTTCGTTTTCTCTATAATCTTTTCCAACCATCCGCCGTCCGGACGATGCATATACACAAACACAAACATTCAATGGCCCTAAATGAAAATTATTGTGCAAGCCAGACATTTAAGTGCATGTTATTAACCAGACAAGCAAATGCCATTATTTATCCGCGAAGCCAGTCCTTAACAAAAAAATTGCATCTAGCATAGTAGTTACAAGTAACTATTATTTATGGTTTGTTTATATTGAACGTACAATTAAATTTAACTACTCGGCAGTTTATCGAATTGTGAATTTTTACTATTTAATAATTGACTTGAAACATATGTTTTTAAACCCTTAGGTGTATCTTATCGTTATTGTTTTAACATTTTTAAATAAGGCTGGACATTTAAAAAAAAAATTGAAAATGTCGTTTTTAACATTCTAAGTTTGTTTTTGGTATTCTAAAATTAAAAAGTATTTTTTCTACTACCTTACTTTAAAACTTAATTTTCCAACCCCCCGAGCGAGGGAGGAAAAAAAATTTCTCCCTCTATTTTTTTTACATTATCAAGAGTTTTTGTACCTTCTCTAATCATATTTGATTTTGTAGAAAAAAGAAAAATCGTAGTAAACTCCGCGCTTGTTCAACCGTTCTTTGAAAAAACTCAGTGGACTAGAGAGCCAATTTAACGCGCAGAAATTATTTGGTGAGATAAAAATTGGGGGGGGAGGGGTCTAGCAAAATCTCACCAAATCTCATGTTAAAGGAGGGGGGGTCATTAAAAATCTCACGTCAACTTTTGGGTTTAAACTTTAAATTTGAAAATGTGTGTTTTAAAGGTGTGAGTAGAAAATAGTATTTTTTGCAACTCCCATTTAATGATGGCTATTTAGACGAGCATGAGAATTATGTCATTATTAATGAGAGTGTCTTAATAGACTATTTTTTTAATGACTATCATAACAAAGTAGAAAATTAACTTTAAAAAACACTTCGCATTTCTATTGGTTAATATATTATAATAATACATTATAATGCCGCTTGATGCATTTCTTTTTGGTCAAAAACCTGCATCTTAATGAAAAATTTGTATCATAATGGATCTCATTATTGTACAGGTAGAAAATGACTAATAAACGAATTAAAGTATAGGAATTCTGAAATTTGTTTTTGCATTAGGTATATAATTTATTATATACTAAAATTCTAAAATTTTGTTTCAATGGTTAACATTGTTAACATTCTTAAATTTAAAAAGTTAATTCTAAAGTTTTGGCATTTAAACTTTTCAAAGGGCGGTTTCAACTTTTTTATTCTGGTTTAAAGTGATTTTAATATTCATAAAACATTGCCTACTAAAATATAGTTTCTTCTAAAAATTATAAAGTTATAAAATGTTAATTTAGTCTTCGTGGTTTTAACAAACTTGTATAAATCAAATTTGATTTTTTATAATATTATGTTTTTAGCATTCGAAACTTTGTTTTAAAGTTCTAAGATTTGTTTTTGGTATTTTTTTTAACATTCTAAAATATTTATTTTTAATAATTTTAATATAAATATGTTTGGTCATTATCATATTTTTATATATCATGTAAACTTCATAAAATATATTTTCAAGATGCGGTTTAACAATTTGTATTTTAAACATTCTAAATTTTATTTAAACTAAAAATTTTGAAATCCTGACATTTTTGTAAATTTTGTTTTTTTGGCATTTAAACATTCAAAAATTTTTTTCTACTCCCACCTTTAAAACGCCCATTTTTGTACACTTTTCCATGACATGTGCACTAAGTGACCTTTTTAATACACATTGTCATGTTGTGGCTTTATGGCGTTTTAGTCACGGGCTGAAGTTAGTATTAATTTATTTGACAGTTGTTAAATGTCATACAATCCCCAAGCAGCAATTTGTGCCCGAACTTGGGCACGACACTTTTTGTTTCCAAATTGTTTCGACACAAATCGGAAAACTTATGTCTAAATGGAAACTGTGTCCATTCTTCAAATTTGTGGTTGCTTTGGGTCGACACCTTTTAAACCAATTGTGTCCAAAAAAGTATGGGTCTAAGTAGCATTATTTCAGAAATATGTGCCCAAGTTGCGTCGCTTTTGTGCCCTCTTGGAAACAGTAACACAATTTGGACTCATTAGGGTCGACACTTAGTCGACTCAATGTTTCCATATTGTACCTTATCAATCTGTTTCCATTTTATTACCAAATTGAGTCAAGTGGACGCAAAAGTTTCCATTTAGCTGCATTTTAGATTCATGGTGTCTGATTTGTTTCAAAAATGTGTGGGGCGGGCGCATTAGGTTCCAAAGGGACACATTGTGTAATTCGCCATATTTTTTTGTTGAAACAGATACGACGCTTTAATTTTTTTACATAATTTAACTTTCTGGTGAAATTTAAACTTAAAATTTAAAAAATGCAAAGTTTAAGTTACATAGAAGGCACATACGTCTAGTTTTGATAAAAATAAAGGAAAAAAAAATTTTTTTTAATAAAAAAAATTTTAAATACTTATTATTTGTGAGGCCCTATCAATTTTTAAAAGTATTTTGCTTATAATCACCAATAAAATTTTGTTCGCAATAAAAATGAAGGTAACATATACCAAAAATGTTAGATTTAAGTTATAATGTATTTCATAATATTATATTATATAGGTACATAATTATTAATAAGACATCACGCCTTACTTTGCCCCTTTGTATCTAGTTTGTTTCCAGTTCGTTTCCAATTAAAAATAGTTAGTGTCCATTTGGGTTTATTTTAGGACACAATACAGTACTTGGCAACAATTCGGAACAAATGGTGACCATTTGGTAACATACAAATTAGAAACTCTTTGGGCACAAATCGGTCACACTACCGGGCACATTGTGGGCAAATTTTAAGAAAAAATCGGGCACATTTTGTGGGCAAACTATGGACACTTTTTGGTACAACTTTCATCACCACTTTGGTCTCATTTTCCACACTTAGTGGTCTTAAAGTGGACTATGTGTCTTTAAAATGTGTCGTGTCCAAAATCATGTTTCGACGCTGTGTCGACACATTGCCCAAAATGTGTCATTCTTTGCTGCTTGGGTCGTTAAAATAAGTACCTCTCTTGTAAAATAATACTAAATGTAAAAATTATTTTATTATCTCAATACAAATAGGTATACAAAAGTATTAAATTGTTTCTCAACGCCATTATTTGAAAAGTTTATATGAACATTGTACTGACCTTTTAATTTCGCCGGCACTAAACCAGATATAACTTAAATTCGGTCTCCATTGTGAAGTGCTCATAAAACATTTTCTTTACTTTCACTGTGAAAAACTGTTGTTAATCCATTTTCAAGGAATACATTTCGATTTATAACCTTTATAATCTGTTTATAACACATGCAAATTTGACATTTGACGTTAACACAGATTCCCCTATTGTTTTTTAGAGGGCGCTCTATACAAATATTAGATTTAAATCATTTTAAGATAATAATAAGTATTTGTCGTAGAAAAAGTATAGTATGCAACTCGTTTATACATTTCTAAACACTCATTATAA